ACTGTAACGATCTTTGGCGGCTCCCAATCAAGTACTGCCTCTACTTTAGCTGGATCTACAGCTATGCCCTCCTTGCTGATAACATGGCCTAAAATCCTAACCTTAGCATACAACTAGTGCTCCCGAAAAGTCTGCAATGCTAATCTAAGATGTTGCTTGTGCTCTTCCTCCAATCTCGAATAAATAAGGATGTCGTCGATGAATACGATCATGAACTGATCAAAATATGGATGAAAAACTCGGTTCATAAAATCCATGAATACCACGGGTGTATTGGTCAGCCCAAATGACATGACAAGAAACTCAAAGGACCCATATCGAGTTAGAAAGGTGGTTTTGGGAATATCCATCTCTCGAACCCGTAACTGATGATAGCCAGAATGAAGATCAAATTTCAATTAATACTATGCTCCCTACAATTGGTCAAATAATCCATCTATCCTCGGTAGTGAATACCTATTCCGGATGGTGATCTTATTCAACTCACGATAATCTATACATAAGTGCATACTACCGTCCTTCTTCTTCACCAAAAGGACCAATGCTCCCAATGGAGAATGACTCTGGTGAATAAAACCCTAAGATAAAAGCTCATCCAACTGAGTCTGTAACTCCCTCATCTTAGTAGGTGTCATACGATAGGGTGCTTAGGATATCTGTGTTGTGCCTGGCTGTAACTCGATGCAAAACTCAACCTCTCTCATAGGAGGTAACCTAGGTATGTCCTGAAAGACATCCTGATACTCTGAGATGACTCTAGTCTCGCACAAATCAGAACTCTAATCCCACAACATCACCTCCTCGATGTACGCCGGGAATGACTCTGCAAACTGGTTACCCTATTAGGTTGCTACAATCAACTCGGTCCCATCGAACGCTTGCAAACTAACTATTTTAGTAAAACAGTCGATACTGACATGGTAGGATGATAACCAATCCATACCAAGGATAACATCAAATTCGGACATACGCAAAATGATCAGATTGATGATAAACTCAGACTTATTTAAACCGATGACACTTCTCCTATAGATACTCTCTAATAGGGACACATTACCTAAAGGCGTAGAAACTGATAATGGTACATCTAGGGGATGTGCAACTAGCTGAAGCCTATCCATGAAGGTATAAGAAATAAAGGAATGTGAATCACTTAAATCGAACAAGATCCGAGTTGGAAAGGAGTTCACGAGGAACGTACCTTCCACTATGACTCCACTCACACCATGATCGCGTGGTACGACTGCATAATCCATGTCGGTGGTTGAAGACTGCTGTACTGAAGCTGGTGGAACAAATGGGACTATCTGTCCTTGAGGTATCTCTTGGATGGCATGGACCTATCCTACTGGCCGCTTAATCCTCAGAACAGTCGGCAGCGCCTCAATCCTCTGCTTCTGGTCATACTCGCGGCCCTACGGCTGCTGACCTTATCCACGACTCTGCTATTGTTAGCCATGCCCACGACCCTACTGCTAGCCATGGCCTCTGCTCTGCTGGTCTCCTACTGGTGCACTGTGACAATCTTTTACCCTATGCCCTATCTTATTGCAGTTATAACAAGTACCCTGAATCTTGCGCTGCTGAGGCGCTATTGAATTATGTTGTGACCCCTTCTTATTTGGTCCTTGCTGCTAGTGTTGCGAATACTTGCCTCGCTACTGGGGTCCCCCTAGTCCTGCAAAAGATTTCTTGCCCTTGCCTTTGTCACCATGTTGTCCTGCTTTAGAGGTTCCTTCCTTATTCTTCTGAAAAATCACAGTCTCTGTCTCCTACAAAATAGCGGCATCAGCTACCTCTCGCACTGAACGAAATCACCTAGAGATAAGGTAGCGGCGAAGGTTTGGACGAAGTCCGATAAAAAAATATATGAGCTTGATGCTCTTCTGTCTGTCACATGCCCGTGAATCGAAGCAAGCTCATAAATCTGTCTTCGTAGTCAGCTACGGACATGTCCCCCTGCTCCAATCTGGATAGCTCTAACTCTTTCTTACCATGGAAGAGATGTACTGCTTGTCAAAAAAGTATATGAAGTCTTCCCAAGTAAGCATCATCCGTTGCTCAGGGGCGAATTGAAGTCTATACCATCAGCCAACATCACCCTTAAGACTGAAATCTGGCAATCGCTGCTTCTGAACGGAGTCCACATCAAGTAGGTCAAGAATATTTCTACATCTTCTTTCAACTTGTGAGCTACAAGTGAGACTGATGATCCCTAGAATTCTGGTGCCATCATCCTCTAGTATCTCTCAACTAGACGAGGCCAAGTCTCCTACTCCTTAGATCTATCGATAACTGGTGGTGGTGTAACTCCTGGTGTAACCTCTGGGGATTCCTCGACAATAGGTATAACCGGTATAACTGGTGTTGGAACCACAGGTGGTGGTGCAACTGGTGGATTCTGGTTTGCCAGTTGCTCCTCGAGCATTGCTAGCCTGGCTAGAATAGGTGCCATGAGGTCTATCAAATACTGCGGAGCCTGCTGTGGCTCAGGTGGGGCCTGCTGCGGCTTGAGTGTAGCCTACTATAAAACCCCGTGAATTTTAAAAAATAGTATAAATTATATTGATAAATAAGCTCTAATTATGATGAATATCATTTATGGATAAACGATTATGCTAACAATTGATTTGAAATCAATTAAGAGTATATATGAGAGTATACAAAGGTTAAACACGCACAAAGAAGAAATATGGAAAAATGACTAGTTAAGAGTATATATGTATTATACGCTGATATAGTTCGAATATGGAAAAACTTAAAAAATAAAAGTTGTAGGTATATTAAACAGCTTTCTAATGAATCTTAAATCATCTCATTCTGAGGTCGAACGTGAAAGTTACAGCCAAAATACCAAATACTATTTTTCCAACCTGACTAGGTTTCATGTTTCGGGTTTGGGCTATTTTGATTCGTGTTTGCAGTTATATGTATACATGTTTACACACAAAAAATATCTTTATATCAGTATTCCAAATCCTAGCATCCTCTCTTCCTCTCTCTCTCTCAAACCTTAATCATAATTTGTGAGATTTAGGAGAGTTCTTGAGGCATTTGTCAAGGAAGATGGGATTTTGCGACTTTGGTGAAGAGGGGTATTGCATGCACGTGTTCAGGTGTTCAACACAACTTTTGAGGCAAGATCATCTTCCTCCAAACATCTCCCTAAAGTTAATTCAAGATTTAATATGTTTAATTATTGAATCTCATGTTTAACTTTAACCCGATGTTTTAAAATCTTAGTTTATGATGTTAATCTTTAAACCAATGTGAAAATATGTAGTTTTAGTTATTGTTTATATTAGTTTGATAATCATGATCATTAGGGTTGTATTTAATTTTATTTTTAACTTATTAACCATGCATAAATCATGTTTAAACCCTAGTTTAGTAATTATTTGAGTTTTCTTGCTAATTAAAGAGGTCTAAACCTTAGGTTGATAATACCTAAGTGATGTGAGCATGTTTAAATGAATTTACCTCTGTTCAATATTTAGAATTTATCATGTTTACTTAACCATATTTATAAATTAGGTTATTTAAAAAATTTTGATTAATTAGGATGTTAAACCCTAATTAGTTTAATTCAAGTGTTTATATCATGATGAGTTAATTCATGTTAAGTAATTATGAAAGATTTAAACTTGTTATATGCCTCATGTCGATAAAAATAAGTTTTTAAATAAAGTTACAAAATACAAAACATCAGAAACCTGAACTTGTGTTTTCCTCTCTGGCCGGTCGACCAATCAAGACTAGTCGGTCGACCGATGAGACCCTGAGCGTGCACATTGTGTGCACGATTGCTTTCGGTCGACCAATGCTCTAAGGGCGGTAGACCGACATGTGTTCTCTTTGTTTTTTGAGTGGTTGTTTTTGCATCGTTTGACCGTGAGTGCGGGGTTCGAGCCGCACGATGACACACGTACAATCATGAACATGCATGAATAGTATTGTAGCACACACACAGATATCCTGGAGAGGATTATTACAGGTATTGTTTTCAACCACAATTGGGATATGGGTTATTTAAACATTATATACATGTATGGATATCATTGATAAGCACCGCTCAGTACTACTTGGGATAGTGCGTCGTTATACCATTAGTATAGGCCATTGAGTTGGGTTTTAGGATGCTTGATCTAGTAGTCCGTCTCGCACGTAGATGCGATGAGGCTTGTGAGCCGTATACCTAGGATACCTTGATTTGGCAATCCGTCCGGCACGTTGATGCGATGAGACTAATGAGCCATGTACACTACTAGGATGCCGATTTGGTAGTCCGTCCCGTATACTTGTATGAACATACATTCCTCCCATCATATTGGTTACAATATTTGCTGGAAGATTTTGCTATATATAAAATGCAAGTCTATTTATCTTTTCTAATTATAAAGTTACAAACTGAACAATGTATTTATAAATTCGATTGTTCCATTTACTCTTACAACTTCCTTTCCATTCAACCAAAAAGCCCTTATTACAAAAACATGAAGTTGGGATTTCAGATACTCTAGTCTGAAGACTGTAACTAGGTGAAGTATACATAAGATGGGACTGTTTGTCCAAAACCTATCTAAACTCAATCCCATCTCTCATCTCAACCCTAGTAGAACTATTGAGGTAAACGCCCAAGTCCAACCTATTAAAACCTACCAATTGAAGTCTGCCTCAAAGTCTTTCCATGACCTACTACTGCTGGCGGCCGGATATAAATACAAACTGGATATCATATTAGATTCCTTCATAAACTCACATCATATATATAAAAAAGTTATAAGAATGATAAATAATATTAATAGGCAAATTCTAGACCAATCCGAGCTCTCAAAAGTCCATAGTTTCCCATCTTAGTTCTAAGCTTATCGATACAAATTAAAAACCAAGTCAATCTTCGGAAACGTCCATAAACAACTCCATAATTGACCTCACCAACGCATCCACCGTTGGAATTTTTCTCCCTCTGATCTTGTAATAGAGGGACATATAAAATCACCATTCCACCAACACATCAGAAGTACAACGTCGTGATCTATTCATGTTCACATACGAAAAGAAACCAGGCCATGTTTTGCGGCAAAAGAAGCTTTTCTCAAATAGACACCGAGCCTCTCCCAACCTCGCCCAAGGGATCAAAGCTCAAGCAAAGCCTCTCGATGACAAAGAAGAAGAAGCAAAGCTCAAGCTCGAACCCCTACTCGACGTCGGGGCTTGATAAATTCGAAAAAGTACTTGAAGAATTAGACAAGAAGAAGGAGAAGATCTTGTTGAGGGCCAGGTCTCAAGGAGGTGCGACGGTTAGGTTCACTTATAGATCGGACTCGGATGATTGGATTCCAATCATCATCAAGAAAAGGGAGCCAAGGGAAGCGAAGGACGCAAAGGCGAAGTCATCGCGGCCTAGGGTTACAAAGAGATTATCATCGGCGCCTCCTTCGATGAAAGTGGAGAAAGGATTGGAGGTGACCAAGGAGCCCAAGGAAGTCGTCACCGAGTCTAAGGATATTATTAAGGTGAAGAAGAGAGGTGTGTATGGTTGGGGTGTTTGTTTTTGGTCTCTGGTGATTGTGTTGGTACTCGTTTTGTTGGTGTTTGGGAGGTCTTTTGCAATATGTTGGACTGCTATTTGGTGGTATTTGGTGCCTTTGATGAAGGGTAAGAGCAAGGGTTTTAAGAGGAAGGAGTTATGGAGGAGGGTTAGTGATAAGAAGCTAGGAGGTGGTGTAGATGGATTCAGATCATTCAAGGGTCATATTAGCGAGAGGACATGATGATCATTTTGGATAGGATTCGAGTCTTTCTTCTATTTTCTTTGTTTTCCTAAAATTTTGTACAAATTAATGAGAATTATCTTCGGTCACTTGGAGTATGATTAGGATCTCTGTATTTGTTGTTGGCTCTTGGGTGTCATTTGGGAGCACTCGTTGCCTTTTTCGTCCAATTGTTGGCCGAAACAAGTTATAAGTTTTGTTTTGCAGTACTTCCCTGGGGACATTTCCAATTATAGAGAGCAACGTTGTTCTGTTATTCCCATGATGTTTGATGTTGCAGGATTTGCTATAAAGGGGCTGTTTGGTTCCGTTTCCTCCATATAGGGAAATACAATTCCATGTAAAAAAACACAAGTTTTGAGTTTTCCAAACTTTTTTAAGAAATAGATTGTTTCAATTCTAGCTATCTCTTGTCTTCTTTTTTCCTTACTTAGATCACTACGAATTGATTTACGTCTTACTTGCATTTTTCTTATGACAGTAATTATTATAATTAGAACGGACATGGTAGCACATTGAACCATATTTACAACACTTTGTTCATCGGAACAATCACCATCATTATCCATCTACGATGAAAAAAATCATTATCCAGTTAGAAACTAAGGGCTGTTTGGTTCGTTTTTTAACTCGGTGCAAAAGTTTTACAGCGCCTCCACATCAGATTTTTCGTGGCCACGTAGGATATAAGCTTTCCGTCGGTTTTTTTCCCATCTTTGGTTCGCTAGGGTTGAAGAAGGGTAACTCGGTGAAAATCGCCGCCACATCAGATTTTTTTCTCTCCCTCATTTCCTTCCTCAACCTCGTGAAATCGACAAAAACTGCAGCACGTCAGCCTTTTGCCATATAAACAAAAGTTTTCCATTTTTTTCCATGCGAACTAAACACAAGAAAAATAAATACATTGGTTTCCCACCATTTTTTTTGTGCGAGCCAAAGCGAAACAATCTATTTCTTGGAAAAGTTTGGAAAACTCAAACTTGTGTTTTTGTATATGGAAATGTATTTCCCTATATCTAGGAAACGAACCAAACAGCCCCTAAGTCGAATTGTGTCAAAATCTGAACAAATTACAAATTACAATTTATAAATTACTAACATGGATTACTACAATATCAAACCAAAAGATATTACAGTGATATAAATAACATTAATAAATAACAAAGATATGAACTTTAGCTCCTAAAATGAGAAAAATTACATTAACAACACGCAACCAATTAACATTTTCATACTATCTAATAATGAGATAATTAAAAATACCAAAAATTGATCTTAGAAAATAGGAAATCATGGGGGGATTCTCACTGCTACAGTCACAAGCTCCTCATCACAAATTATAATTTTTTCCTCACCTCCAGATATTTATTAGTAATTAAATCTGATATGTCTCACCTACAAAAATAAATCCGTAATACATTCCCAATAATAATGCTAAAAAAACAAAAATTAATTCTAAAATCTAAGAAATTATACGAAATTTCATAATTTTCTTATCTGTGAAATCTCAAAAAAATAGAAAAATCACCAAAATTAATTCGAAAATCAAAAAAATTACGTAGATCAACCCCCCCCCCTACCCCCCACCCAAATTTTCTCCATGAATGGGTATTCAAAGTTTTCTAATCATATTTTCTTATCTGTGAAATGTCAAAAAATAGAAAAATCAGAAAAATTAATTCCAAAATCCAAAAAATTGCGTAGATCAGACCCCCCCTCCCCCACAAATTCTCAGATCATTGTTGTAAATTAAACTAATAATAAGAAAATTAAAAAAAACCAATTTTTACCTTGATTTATGAAGCAACAGCGTCGGCAAAGATCAGATCTGATTATTGTCGTCAATGATCAGATCCGAATACAGGGACAAAGTGGGTCGTAGGAGTTTTTGACAGGAGGAGAGCGCGGAGGTAAGTATAGCTCGTCGAAGAAATTAACGAGGAAACCAAACAGCCGACGTGGCTACAGTTTCTGTCGATTTCACGAGGTTGAGGAAGGAATTGTGGGAGAGGAGGAAATCTGATGTGGCGGCAATTTTTCTTCAGTTTCGTTTGTGAAACCCTAGCGAACCAAAGTTGAGAAAATAAACCGACGGAAACGTTTTATCCAACGTGGCCACGAAAGTTCTTACGTGGAGGCAGTGAAAAAGGTTTCCACAGAGAAAAAAACGAACCAAACAGCCCCAAAAAGTGAATATGAGTGGGAAGAATATTTGAAAAGGATTGTGAAGGTGAATCATGAAAATAAGAATCTTATGCTGATTCTATTACTTTATAGGAACAAAAATGAATATATATACATTAATGATTTGCCAACAAAACAGATTCTACTACTTGAACCAGAATCAATTATTAATTCAGTTTTTCCCATTATTCTACTGTTTTGATGCGACTATATTGCCATTTTGCTGAACCCTGGTTGTCTAAATAATTTTAGAGAAGTATAATTAAGGAAATGGATACTTTATTCTTTATAAAAAAAGTGCTGCAGCGATGACTGTATATGGAACTTCCTGGAGTTGGATCTTCAATTTACTTATCTTGATTTTCTGGAATTAGGCGACTATTTTTTTTATTTAACTATGTTTTTTAAAAAAATTATAACTATGTTAATAGAATTACTTTAATGTGCAACAGTTTTCACAATTATTCTGAAGTGATGACGGACAAAGGGGTGAGCCGGATCATGCGGTCAAGTCAACTCTAGGCCCGCACTCGCCGGCATACAATCTCTCTCACCGGAAATTTAAAATTCTCAAATAATATGATGAACATCACATAATCCTTCTAGAAGATTTGAAATTAATTAATCCCAAGTCTACTGAGTAATAATCCCGTGACACAAAAGTCTACCAAACTCTAATAAAGTCTTAGTCATTGTGTAAATCCAAGCTCATCTTTATGTATCTTATATTTATTTATAATAAATTGTCTAAGACCTTCTGAACTACATTTATGTATTTAATTGAATTTGGATTTTTTTATGAAAAGAAAGAGTATTACCACTTGTACACGTAATAAATTGCTTACATCAGGCTTTTACACATGAACTTATCATGTATTAATCACCTCATTTATTATCATGATGACAAGTTTATCCCAACCAAACCCAGCGAGAAACTTGAAGATATCCATCCAACACGTGGCACCTTCACTGATCAGCGTTGGGTCACTTTCAACTCACTATATCTAGGTGTTCATGATAAAGTTATAGTTTTAGTTTTTCTAATAAGCTTTGCTACATGCACCCCAAATATGAGACCAATAGAGAAGATAAATGAAGTATTCTCCTCCTATTGGATAATGAGTTGGCTATCATTAATGATGACCAACTCATTATCCAATAGGAGGGGGGGATAATGAGTTGGCTATCATTAATGATGACCAACTCATTATCCAATAGGAGGGGGACACCTCACTTGTCTCCTCTATTGGTGGCTATCATTAATGATGACCAACTCATTATCCAATAGGAGGGGGACACCTCACTTGTCTCCTCTATTGGTGCTATATTTTGGATCCTTGAAGAATTTTTCTTTTCTAATTTGTTCCTCCTATCACTTCTCATATTGAAAAGCCTTTTACTATTCAAGACTTAAACAAAAATTTCTTATATTCGTCACATATGTTTTATTGTTCAAACCACTAAAAACTGCTTTTAGTGACTAAATCGTGTTTATTTGGTCTATTCATCACTGCATAATATTTTGTTAATTCAAATCAAATCGGGTTAATTAGGCAAAACCTTTTAACTCTCACCAGACCCGTTTGCTAATTATGTTAAAGTGATTTTATTATTACTAGTAAAGTGCACGTGCATTGCACGTGGGTATACTTGTTCAGTATTAAAAATTTTAAATGTGGACCGTAAAATAATAAAGTGAATCGATGATTTAGATATATTCATGTAATTAAGCTGGTGAAGTGAATCGATGATTTAGATATATTCATGTAATTAAGCTGGTTTAGATTTTACCAATATTCATGAAACCCACATAAAGAACATAATAATTAGATTTTACCAATATTCATGAAACCCACATAAAGAACATAATAAGAGATTTATGTGCTAGGATTCTTAAATAATTAGATTAGCTAATAGCTAGAAGACCTTAACTTATATAGGGTAATGAGACAAAAAAAAGAACCAATTCATATCATGTTTCAAGTTTAATTACATTATCAAAGTCTATATTAATTATCAGCATTTAAAGCTGAAACAAAACATACAGACATAGATGGTCAAATTTACTAAATAGCAGATACCCGACGTGGATTAATAGAGTGAAAAAATTATAACCCTATGTATGAACAAACTTATTCTGTAAACACAATAGCAATATTAAAAGATGATCTAATATTAGAGATGGGAGACACATCTTTGCTCAATTTACACTAAGGTTCAAGCTATTTAAGGAAATGCTAATTAATAAGAGCTTTCCCAAATAAATTTCTTAAACTTAAAACTAAAATTGACATGTTTGAATGATAGAGATATATCATGCGAAAGGACTTGTCACTTACTTAAAACTAAAATTGACATGTTTGAATGATAGAGATATATCATGCGAAAGGACTTGTCACTTGTTAAAGTTTCGTGATAATTGCAAGAGAGACTGATTGTGTCATTGATATGTATTTTATCAATCTCTAGTTCACAAGTTAGCATAACATACAAAATGAGTAATTAATTAGAAGGTAAAAAAGCCAAAGCTTTAGAAGATATCACTATAGTAATTAGGGCTTATTTATAATAAAAATATAACATTTATTTTGGATGCATGTAAATATGCTGGTTGTAGTATTTATTTAATGTTTTTTTTCTGAAATCATGGTAAGAAAGTTTATTTTGTACTTTTAAAAGTTTATTTTGTACTTTTCATTGTAACATCAAAATGATAATACAATTTGCCTAATGCATTCCTAATCGTGCCCCTATTTCATGATATTAACATTATAGATTTTTTTTATACAATGTGTTTTCAAATTATACCGTGAAATACGTTTAGGGGGTTGAATTTTAAAAATATTTAATCTAATGAGATTTTAAAATACATTTGTTCATTTTAGTCTTTTTATAATACATTTTAAAATTTGAGTGATCCCAAATTGATTGTACCAATTTAAATTGTACCAAATTGTCTCATTTCTACAATAATCAAGTTTCAAAACATACGTTTAGGGGGTTGAATTTTAAAAATATTTAATCTAATGAGA